TACACCATGCTGATGAGTTGCCAAGAAACCAAGAAACATCTGTCTTTGGTCGGACGGACGGAAGCAGCATGTTTAAGCTAGACCTTCTGAGAACATCGAATAGCAGAGAAATTAAGCGGATCATGCCATGTCATCTGGCAACGTCGTCTACTCTCGATACCTGATCACTCGACGAGTCAGACTCAGCAGCGCGGCATACCGTCAGTCATGCCAGGTCACTTATGAAGACCACCAGGCCCACCGGTGAACGTAGAGAGCAGATGTCAGGATGTATACCGAAACGTTTCCTTATTGTTCTAAGGGCAAATGTACGAAGACATTTATTATATATGAAATATGCCTTATGGTTGCGAAGCAGTGCCGAGGTTGAGAGAATATAAATATACAGTTCTTAAACCCTACAAAAGTGTTTTTATAAATTACCAGAAGCGTTTAAAACGCCAAAAAGTGAAGTTTAATCAACATAATTAATTTCAGAATTAATAATTCCCCCAGTAAGCGTGGAAAGCGAAACTTGAAATCTGGACTAACTTATTAGCAGGTTTCATCAATTAAATTTTTTTTAGTCCGTCGCACACATACCGCTCAATGAGGGCAAAACAAGTTGATTGTTAATCTACTTGTCATGCTTGCCTTTGTGTTCAGTAGTCGACATTATGTCCCAAATTTTTTTCGTCCGCACTCAATGTTAACCTTTAGTCAGACTCACGTCCATATGCTATCGTTTAGTAAGCCAAAACAGCGAAGCAAAATATGCCCTAATCTACTCTCAATAACTATCTCTATAGTAGGAGCTATCGAACCTCTCCTCAAAGTTATTATCCATGACTAATATAACATTAAACCAGTAGACCCTTGGAACAGGGAATTGTTCAGAAGTCTTCTAGATGACTCAACTACTTGTGCTGATCTTGAGCTGAAGTCGATATCGATGCTGCAGTAGGAAGCCTCACAAAAAATATTCAAGGATCAGCGAGGGGTGCTACAACAACTACACTAACAAAAATAATTTTGTCAACGCTTTCAAAGATGTCAAACAAACAACGTTGGAGTATAAAAATGATGGTATTCAACAGTGTCCTGAGAATTTGACAGCTACAGAGGATACAAATTAATCACTCTGGAAGGTCAGCAAAGAATTGATGAGACATAGTCTACCTAACCCTCCAATAAAGAATCATTCAACTAAGTGGGCAAACGATGATGCAGAAATGGTAACATTTTCTGCTGAATGCTGCAAAGCGTGTTCACTCCGTGTACTGCATAGGACACTTGAAGAAGACGAAAATCGTGTAACAGACTTCCTAGACGCAGTTTCATATAGTCTTAGCTATCACAAAAATTAAACGGCGGGTGATTGTGAATTATCTACAAAATCCATAAAACAATATATAGATTTATGGCTATATTTTGAATGAAAAGCCATCTTCGCAGTTGGAAATTTGCATACTTAAAAACGATTCTTAAACCAGGAAAGAACACTAACGAAGTCACCTAATATAGACCTAAAAGCATACTACCGGTGCTCTCAAAACAAAAGTATACATAGAAGTATCTAAATTAATACCGGACCATCAATTTGGTTCCGCGGAGACCAGGTGCACAGAATTGTGAACAAAATTAATGCGGATTTTAACAACAAAAGATAGTGTTTTGCTGCATCTCTAGATATATCCCAAGCATTTGGCAAAGTAAGGCATACTTCAAATTAAAACAACTTTTACTTTATCCTCATTGAGGTTTACTCTATGTAGAAAAACCTGTCCACCAGTAACTATCAATAGCTTACAAATCCCACAATCAAACCATGCGAGGTATCTCGGAATCGATTTACACAGAAGGCTTACATGACAAATGCACGTTTTTTCTAAAGGAAAACAAACGGCACCAATTCTGAAGAGATATAATGCTTTCATGAAACCAATTTGGACGTGTTATATCCGGTTATTAGGCACAACGAGCAACAGCAATATTGCCATCTTTCAGCGGTTGCACAACAATGTTCCACTGATCCACAACACGATTGTTAGATACCGTAAACCGGGGTAACTTTGGTACGGTTTTTCAAGTTTTTCTTTAAATATGATCTTGCAAAAATAACTGGGCTTTGACTACTGGCAATGTATCAACACTCCCAAGTATGCAATAGCACAGAAACATCATAAATTGATTTTGTAAGTTGACATATTTGGCCTTAAATGTGTCCCAATGTTACCCCTCTATTTGTGGTAACTTTGGTACATTGGCTTTTTATAAGAATATTTCGACGTCATGGGCCTAAAGATAGATATTGCTGAACCAATGAAAAATGAAATGGCAAGCAAAAAACGTATTTTTGCTATTTTTTATATAGTAGGGGGCAAAAGAACAGGATTAAAGTCTCTTCAGAAGCTTTTACTGCTAGATAAGTACATAAAAAAGAGGTTTTAATATTTCAAATCATTACAATTTAAATAAATAATAAAGATCATCAGTTTGGTATTTTTAAATACATAAAAAATAAAAATTAAAAAGATATAATGCCTTAAATAAGGCCTAAATCTAAAATCAAACAAACATATTTTCCTTAAGCAAATTTTTTCAATTCTGGAACATCGAAAACTTCTCGATGTCCACGACGTTCAGGTATTTTTATAGCCATTATTATTTCTTGATTGGTATAAAATATTTCGTCTTTGTGATTTGGCAATTTCCATTGATTTCCATAGGGTGTCATAACATTGACCATCGCTCCAAGTTTAAAAGCTTTCGTGATTTGTCCAGGGTAATATTTTTAATTGTAAATAACCAAAACGTGATTTCCAACTTTTCTTGAATCCACGGAAAATGTCATTTTTTGCCTCTATCTGGTTCGGCACTGACTTCATCATCTGACAGTTCAGAACTGTAAGGGCTATCGGTTGTTTCTGCATCTTTAACACATTGAGCGCCGAAGCAGACACCGGTGTCTGTTCACGATTTTACCGGCCAGGCCACTGCAGACACATGTGTTTGTTTTAAATTCTGTCGAAATGTGCCAAGCAGACGAACGTTTCCTTTATATACTGAAGTATTGTGTCTGTTCTGGCCGACCAGAATATACATCTATATGTGGGCAAACTGAGAAAGACATGTGGGACTTCCTAGACAGTGTGTCTGCGTTTGTGTCTGCTGTGGGCCGCTAATTGATTACATCTTTTCTATTTTCTATACAGGGCCATAGCAGGCACCAGGAGAGGAATATGTATTTCTTCACTTACTAATAACCGAATTATATGAACATATTTAGATACCCCTTTTTATGTATAGAGAGAACAACAACCCACAACCAATTGCTTAAGCATATAGGAGAAACAACACGGGCATCGAGGTAAATGAAACTGAGCCAAATAATTTTTTTTTTTTTTATATATACTCCAACTACCACGAAGGCCTGAGGCCTAAGCACCCATTGGGTACCGTGGGGCTATGGGGGATACATGGGAAAGGGGGGACGCCACACGGACTCTGGCGAGGGAACACGTGTGCATGCAACATGCACACATTCTGGCTCCGCCTACGAGAACCGCCGGGTGGTACCTCCGCGTTCGACAGTCAGAGACCATCTACCACCTACGGACAATCACAACATCCATGGCCAAGAGAAACATTTCTCCTGGAGACGGGAATCGAACCCGCACAGCGCACGGCGACTGATCAGGAGACCGAAGAGTCTACTACTGCGGCCACCGCTGCTGCCTAAAACAAACACACAACATCCATGGCGAAGGCGAGATTCGAACTCGCGGCCCGGCCGGCCGGCTGATCAGTAGCACGACACTCTGACCCACGCGGCCAACCGAGGTCCCACATAATAACGCGTAACGGATTATGCACGTCGCATCTCAGACATGAACGGACAAGTCTCAGAGTGTCTGCTTGCAATATTGTGTCTGCTAAAAGTGTCTGTTTTGGCCCCACGATGAATGTTGTTGTGTCTGCATTAGGTGTCTGTTTTGGCCTGGTACATTCAAGTCTAACTGGAAGGCCAGGACAGACATCCGTGTCTGTTTATAAAATATTGTAGTGGTCCTACATGATAGATAGTAAAAATGTGCGTGGCGCTTAATGTGTTAATACTCTGAATGCTACTATCTGAGCTCTCTGAATTATTTTTTGTTCTTTTAGATTTCTGGCTTTTTATTTCAAATAAAGGTAAGCTGTTGTCACAGTCTGAACCTCTAGAAGCCTCATATATGCTCCTCATGTTCTGGATTCCAGACGTGAAGGGCTACGGCGAATTGTGGGGAGGCTCGATCGAGGAGGCATTCTGTACATCAGCAACCGTTATCCCTTTACCAGGAGGCACTTGGAGTTTCTTTCTTCTACGAATACGGGGTGCTAAGGTTTCGTGACGTATATGAGCAAGATGTTCCAAAAAGCTTTCGCCAACAACTTTTTTATTGCAGGTTCGTCAGCCACCACATTTCCGTGCAATCTACTCAAAACGACTTCCTTATTAAAAGGGAAAATTCAGCATTTTCTGAATCCAGATTTAAGATACTCAGCACTGCGCTCTTCCAATCTTGTCAACAGAGTTTTTAAAAGCCTAGGAAAGGTATCCTTAGGTATTCCGCTAAAACGACATCCTTCAGCAGTGTTCTTCCAGTCATTTAGAATTTGTCCCCAGTTTCTCCTCATAGGATGGAAGTATGCTACATGCAGCGGCTGCAGGAGATGCGTACCATTTGGAGGCAGTGCAATAAATCTTATATTATTCAATTCGCACTGTCTGATCACCTCCACATTGAGGTGGGAACTAAGGTTGTCCCCAATTAAAATTTTGCGACCCTCTCTTCATTTTAGAATTGGGAGAATTAAATTAATAAACCAATCCTCAAATAATTGGAAGTCGAACCATCCAGTGCTCGTACGGTTATAACGGGCATTTAATGGACCATCTTCCGTCCAGGTTGACCATAGCTTTTGAGCTTTGTAATTAATATAAACCGGAGCAAGCTGACCCTCGGCATTTCCGCAAATCATAAGAGATATACATGCTTTCGAAGAATTGCGAATCTTCTCAAGGTACTTGGTCCCCTCGTAATAACTTTGGATCGGCCCGGATCATCGACGAGATTTGTTTCGTCGTAATTGTAGATGTTTGCTGGAGGGAGCCCTTCCAGCTCAATTTGGAGATTATCAAAGTACTCGTTAATCACAGCCTCGTCTATACCTGCTCGTGCGTGCGAAATATTTTGGGAGAACCTTTGACTAAGTTCTGATAAGCGCTTTAAAAATGAAGCTACCGAATCAGGACCTGGATAGTTGTTGTTAAAACATGAAACTTTTCTTCCCTGCCTATCCAAATAAGCCTTAACACAAACTTTTAAGCCTTCAGCTGTTACTGGAAAACCAAAGGCAGATAAAGCAATTAAATGTCCAGCGAATGATTCTTCTTCATCTTCCGAGAAGACCCTCGGCTTACCATGTCTACGAGTATGATTTCCATGGATTTTGTTCCTTAAAGTGTTTTTCGCTATCTGATACTTTTTTGCTGCACTACAGAGAGAAATCGGTTTACTTTTAATTTCATCGACAGCCTGTTGAAGTTTTCCTTCTGAATAATTTTTAAAATGTCGCGCACCAAGTAGACGCTGTGGCTTGCGAGGCATTATTAGTTCTGAAAGAGATAAACAAAAGCTATACAAAATTAGAGCCAGTGTAACTTTGGTACACTATGGTTTTTAAAACTCACTATTTTTTCCTATTATTATCTTATAAACAAGATTGAATACCAAAAGTTGTCATATTTGCAGCTTAAATATTTTTGTGAGGTAAAGTGTGGGAAAAATAGCAGGTGTCCCAAAGTAATGCCGAAGTCACCAAGTTACCCCGGTTTAGGTTACAGTAAAGGAATCGAAACCGACCCTAATGTATTAGCAAGCCAATTCTGTGTCTAATAATGAGCTAGTGACTTAACGACTTAGTGATATAATAATAATAATAATAATAATAATAATAGACGTCTTTATTTATCCAGAATTACATTGTAGTATAGCCAAATGTCAGACTTACATGGCGACGTTTAGCATTACACTTAATCATATAGTCTCTAGCAGATGTTCAAAAGAATACACTATCCACAAACAGATTTGGTTTATTACATCGAACGTAAAATTTAAAAGAAGAGAAAAAGGCATACTTTCCAAACCGAAATGCACCAAAAAATTGTTAATCTGAATTGAAGATGGAATAAAAAAGAAATGAATGATTACGTAAATTAATGTTTGGAGGGTTGAGTAATAATGTTTTAACTTTTCTTTATATACTTTAGGAAGGTCATTATAAATAATAGCAACATTGTAAGAAAAACTTCGTTTAAAAAGTGTAGACGTGTGCAGGGGTATTCTAATATTAATTTTTTCTGAGAGTTCTACAGTAAACATCATTATTAAATGAAATTTTTTCCTTCAAGTAATAAGGTTTAGACGTGAGCAGCAATTTGTGAACAAAAACTGAATAGTGATACTTGACCATGTCGTTAATTTTTAACCACTCTAGAACGGGATATTTCGCTGATACATGATCAAATTTACGTAAGCCAAAAATGAATCGTATACAATTGTTTTGAATAACTTGAATAACGTTTTTAGTGAAATTGTCTAAACAAGTATAGTATACGATATTACAATAATTTAGTATAGATATGACCAATGCTTCACATAGTTTTTTGCGCAACTTAAAATTTAGTAAATACCTGTTTGCTATAAGAGTGCGCAGCCGTAGGTAGGTTTTCTGAGATAGACTTTTAACATGTTCAATAAACCTTAGTTTTGTGTCAAAAACAACACCAAGAATTTTTGCAGAATAAGAAAATTGCAAGATTTGGTTATTTATCTGAATGTTCAAGAGCTGTGTTACATTGTATGTTTTTCTTTATAATTTTTTCTAAAATTTTGGATAAAATTGGTAATAAACTGATAGGTCTGAGATCATTATACTCAGTGGGTTTAATTTTTTTAGGAATTGGAGTAATTAGAGACTGTTTCCATGTGTTTGGAAAGTAGCCTTTTTCCAAACAGTCGTTAAAGATGTGGACGATGTGATGGAGAATAACTGGCTGGCAAAGCTGGATCATTGACAGGGATATACCATCAATTCCCTTCGCATCAGAGTTTAGGCTCCCTATTGCCTGTAATACGTCATTTGAACTAATCTTATTCAATGAAAAAATATATCCAGAGCTTAATTTATTTTTGAAATAGTTTTCGCAAAATAATCATTAATTTTGGTAGGGTCATTAAAACTTGCCGGAAGGGTTGGTTTACTACGAAAATTTATATCAAGTTGCTTGAGAGACTTTTTTGAATCATTTTCATTTGCCAAGTGTCCGATATATGTCTTTTAGTCCCTCCTGATCATGTTAAGAGTACGGTTTCTAAGCGATTTGAAGTTATTATAGGCGACCACGGTCTTATTAGTTTTATATAAAGCTTGTGCAGTATTATTTTCATCAAGAACAGTGCGCAGTTCATTAGTTAACCAAGGTGATGGTGGCTTATTAACTATTACAGTTTTAAAAGGTACATGTTTATCATAGGTTTCCACGATAACGCTTGTAATGTGCATTACCTTCTCATCAATATTAAATTTCATAAATAATTCATCTATGCCCGATGTAGAAAGATCGATAAGAAAATCATCCTCACTGAAATGTTTTAAATCCCTGATTGTGATAACTTTTTGTTTTCTTTTACCTATAAGATGGAATGTCAAAATGAAAAAATACAAGTTTGTGGTCCGAAATACCATTCGTGTCCATGACGGAAGAATAGCTGCATGTTTGAGGATTATTTAAAAATATTGGATCGATTAATGTTGGAGTACTATCTGTGACACGGGTGGCCTCCGTTACGAAAACTCAGTGAGGATATATTGTTATTAAAAAAATTTATACTCAGATCTCCCAATATCACGATGTTATGATGATATAACGAGAGGCTGGGTAGAAAACCATTTAATAAATCTGCACATTGTTGTATGTTTTTAGAGGGAGGTCGGTACAAAACACCTACTAACAGTTCACACTTACCCGCAACCAATTTAACCCAAATGCTTTCTAAAAAATCACCAAAATTTGTATGAATATCTACCTTTTCAGCATGTAAATTTTATTTAACATAGATTCCAACTCCAACACCACGAGATTCTCTATCACAATGCAAGAAACAATAGTTAATAGTTAATATTAACCACATCATCAGCAATATTATCATTTAGCCACATCTCTGTAACAGCGAATACATCAAAATTTTCTAATGCTATACTAAGTGACATATAAATCCGAACACCCAGTTTAAATGGTTTTATTTTAATAAAATTTTGTATAAGTACTTAATGAAGCATAATCAGTAAATGATAAAAATTTCAAAATGCTTGCACTGCTTTAAAGGCCTTTGACCTTTAATAATGTGTGGATGCACCCTGATGTGCTACGCATTCTCCAACGTGCCTAGGCATGCTTCTGATTAGGTGGTCAATGTCCTCCTGTGGTATCTCATTCCAGGCAACCACCAACTCCTCTCGAAGTGCTTCTAGAGTCTGAGGAGGACGTTGCAAATTGAGCAATCTCCTACCCATCATATCCCACACATGCTCAATTGGGGATAAGTCGGGAGATCTTGGTGACCATGGTAACAATGTGACATCATTATGTTGAAAGAAGTCTATTGTGATTCTTGCAACATGTGGTCGGGCATTATCTTGTTGGAAAGTTGGATCTGCCAGGGTGTCAAGATAGGGTAAAAGATGGGGTTCTAGAACTTCGTGGATTTAACGCTGCGCGTTCATGTTACCTCTGATGAAGATTAAAGGTGACCTGGAACCATAAGCTATAGCACCCCAAACCATAACTCCAACAGTGTGATGAACATGTCTTTCAACAAAAAACTGTGGATTCCTCCTTTCACCACGTCGCCTTCTAACCCTGGCACGACTATCGTGCATGCCTAAACAAAATCGAGACTCGTCACTAAAGACAATACTGTTCCATTCCTGATCCCAGAGTGACTGTTGTCTGCACCACTCAAGGCGATTACGTCGGTGTTCTCGAGTTAAAGGGAGGACCCAGTGTGGCCGGTATGAGAACAAGCCAAAACTTCTCATTCGTCGGTAAACACTTCGCATACCAATAGGTCTTCCGTGTTCTGCAAACCATTCATTTGCAATGGACCTGGTAGTGGAGAAACGGTCCCTTAAGGCCAATAATCTTAGGCGGCGATCTTCACGGTCTGTTGTTCTACGGCGGCATCCAGTACCCCTTGCTCTTTGCGTACGGCCTTCTCGAAGCCATGCCTGACAACACCTAACCACAGTGTCTACACTTCTTTGCACTCTAACTGCAATTGCCCGAAAAGAAAGTCCAGCTTCCCGAAGTCCCACTATACGGCCCCTATCAAACTCACTAAGTTGACGAAATCGTACAGGTCTCCGTACTCTAGGCATCGTAACCGATCGTAAAGGATGTCAAGAACCAAAATCCACCAACGTTGATTCTTTACTGCGGCTGAGATATTCATTTTTAGAGCGTTAGTGAATTTAAAAAAGGAGTATAAAAACCGGAATGTCCAACTGATAAGGCTGAAAATTTTTTCACTTGTAATTTACAGTAAGATAAACACATTCACCAACTTTTATTAAAATAAAACCATTTAAACTGGGTGTTCGGATTTATATGTCACTTAGTATATTAAATTTACAATAGCATCAAAACTATACATGAGGGAACGTACATTCAAGTGTCCGATATGACCACGATAATCTTGTTGTCCATTCGGGCAATTCGCCGCTATCTCCTAGGAGCTATATAAACAAGAGATTTGCCGAGAAAGACGCAAGCTGATAGATTTTTTCAATCTACCATATTCTGTGCCAGACTTGTTAAGCTAGACAAATTGCAGCAATTTTTTCTCGCATCTGTCAGAAAGGCGTTAAACCGTAATCAACTACCAGGCAACTAAGTCTCTTTTACTTTCATCAGACGTAATTACTGAGTGCCAATTAAACTTTTGTCACCACGAAATCCGTTTTGCCTCTATTCTGGCGGCTTACTTGCGACTGTTAATATAAACTTTTTCGTCCGAATCAGAAGAAGAATTTGTCGCCTGCGAAAAAAAAAAACGGAGCAAAAACGTCGAGGGGACTGTGGAACACAAAGCTAGGGTTTGTAAAGATTGTGGTTATCACCAGAGGTATTACGTAGAAATTCGATATAACAACTCTTGCAATAAATAGTCGCTAGCACATTCCGCGTCTACTGGCTGTGAGCGCCACCTATGGAGGGATGGTTCAACCACCATCTTGGCTAATATTCCTGCAACTCACATTTCGACGGCAGGTTCTGTTGGTTGCAAGCTGCCGAGATAGTAGTCTATATTTATAAAAAAAAGTTTTACCTTTTGCTTTCAAAAAATAAAGCAATTCTTTCAAAGTATATGCATAAAAAGAAGTGAAGAAAAAGGTCTCGCTTCTGTAAGGTAAAAGGTGTTAACGTTTTCTTATTTATAAAAAGAAGCATTTGCTTAAAAACTAAAGTATTTTCTTCTAAAAAAAGAAATCTAGGTTACAGCAACTTTTCTCATTTTATCATTAGTTGTACCGGCATCTTAGAGCC